CACGATCAAGGGCGGAACCCCCAAATTTTCCTTACTTAATCGGGAACGGACGTGTTTGCGAGTGGGACCTCGATCAGGCCTTGGGACGTATCCCCCATCTCCTCAGCTGCCCTAGCCCATACACGTTGTCGGGACAGAAACCCCTGTGAGAGTTTCTGCCCGAGTTTTTCAAGGTCAGACGCTGTTTGACTCTTTTCATTGGATTTGAGGAACATGATGAGATTTACGTTGCCAAAGTTTATTCAGACCAACCCTATGACTAAGAGACCTAAACCTTTTTAAAACCTGACGTCATTGGCGTATGACGTCGTTGACGTCCGATCGAAACCGCAAAAGTCGGCAGTACGATCTGTCGTTCGGTTGAGATCATCCGCGCGGATTTTTGGTGACCCCTGCGCTTTCAAGAATGACACGCCTAAATCGAGAAACGAAAAAAAAAAAAAAAACTAAAATTAACTATGTTTGGAAACGCCATCTGGCGTTTTCAGAAGTGATTGGGGCGTTTCAAGCCCCAGTACACTTGGCAGCACCGAGAAACGGGCGACCGTTGGCAGAAAGGTAAGCTTTTGCTTTTGTTTTATTTTGTTGTTTCTCCTTTTTTTTTTATATATATATATATATATTTTTTTTTTGAGAAAATGTTTGTTTGATTTCAAAGCAAGAATAGCCGGGGTCGGGGACCCCACAATTCAACCCGGAGTGAACCTTCTGGCAGCATTAGCCAGTTTCGCTTTTTACGGCACCAATAGGAACCGGAAGACTTCAGCTTGGGTTTTGGGAGAACGAGAGTCGTTGAGGGAAGGCGAAGAGAATTTTAGATCGGTACTACATTTCTAGTCGCTACTTGAGTAACAGGGCACTACCCTATCAGAGAAAGCTGAAGAGTAGGATAGAGGCATTCTGTTTTACCCAAAAGACTACTGATTGAAATAAGAGGATCAAAGAGAATCAAAGAGAATCAAAGAGAATCAAAGAGGAAGCTTGAGAAAGGAAAGGGTTCTCGGAATCGAGCCTACTTTACTAATATCCTATATTGAATACTGGTTAACTATCTATCGAAACCTGGGTCGGGAGGAAGGAAGGAGACAAAGGGAAAGGGTTAGAAGAGGGGTAGAGAAGGTTGGAAAGTTCATAGGCCTACACTACGGCCTGATAACCTGCCTACAGACGGCGGGTTGGAGTCAAGATGTGCCGACTCCCCAAAACAGAATGGCACTCTCCACCCTCCACACCCCTGATAGCTAGCCTACTGCGGCTCGAGTCAACCGAGTGCCCTGGTTGAGGAACAAAACACAGAGTCCCAGAGTTCTGATCCCACCGAAACATGGACAAAGGTGGGAGGCCAGAGAACAGAGCTGAAGAAATGGGGGAGTGGGAGGATCTAAACTTGCGGTGGGGAATAGAGTAGAATGGGGGGAGAATAGATGAAGATGGATCTTGGTTGGAACAGGAGATAGACCAAGAGGCCTATAAGGAGGGTAGATATGGGAAGGGGGGGGGGGAGGTAGAGATGAGGGCGATGGAGTCCAGTTTCACATACGCCCTCCTAAGAGCAAAGCCAGGGGGTGATGACCATCTGCCCCGAGAGAGTCACTGCAGCCAGCTTGTTATCGCGTGCCCATGTGACAAGAAACCAGTGGCGACCCCGCGGAGTACGTCCCATGTTGGCTTTCCTGACCCAGTCCACCTTGATCATGGTTCTAATCCAAGCTTTGACCGTGGCTTTGATTGCACCGTCGCTGGTCCACTCCTGCCTGAAAAGAATATTGTTCCTGTCCTCTCAAATGGTCCAGAGAAGGACCGTTCGGATTGCCTGTGCCACGTAACCTCTGCCAATGTGTCTGAACCAAGAGGCTGGAATTTTACCCTGAAGTGCCCAACTTTCGTCCCATTGGAGCAAGTCTCCTACGAAGGTGGTCCAGTGTGCCCCCCATCATTCCCACAATCTTCTGGACGTCGGGCAGCCCCAGAACGAATGAGCCAGGGTCTCCTCCTCTCGCTTCCTGCATCTGTAGCATTTAGTGATGAGATCCATTCCCCTTTCAAACAACCAAATTGAACAGGGGACAGCCATGTGGGATAACAACCAAGGAAGGGCGGCCAGCTTCTGTGAGGGCAGCTTTTTTAGCTGGTCCCACAGCTGTTGCAAGTCCCTGGCTGTCACAGGGGACTGTGCTTGCATGATTTCGCTGAGGTTCCTGGCTGTAACTGCGGGTAAGTTGGACCGCTTGGAGATAATCTGTCTTCCCCTTTGGACGAGTATTGGAACAGCATGATCTGCCGTCCATCCGCTAGATGCCAACTGTGGCCCAGCGGATTGATTTTCAGACTGTTAAGCGGTTTGCCCTCCATCAGAAGCTCGTGGCTGGGAACCCGATGGTCTCTCAGTGTGGTGTGCACTCTGACGAGCTGGCGTGGCTGTCGAGCTTCAATACATACTTCTGTTGGATCAACAAGAGAAATCGATTTGCCCTTGTGATCCGTGATTACTGATGTCGTCAATTGCTCTGCCAGCCATAGCTCATCTCCCAAATCCTGAGAGATCCGGATAATTTGTGGAACGTCTTCATTCGGTTGTACGGTAGAGTACCATTCTCCTGGAGTTGGATCCGAACTGGTTAACAGAAGTGACCAAGCTTGTGGAATAGCTTGAATCAGCAAGGCCCTCCTGTGGGCAACTTGGGGGACATACCGCAACTTCGTCCTTAGATGCTCCTCTGTGGTCCAGTTGTTTTCTGTATCGTCCCAAATGTCGGCTATGCGGACCACTCCACGCTCCACCCAGGATCTTCCGAAGGACCCTCGGGATCTGGTCGCTAGGAAGGGTTGGCCACTGTTATCCAGAACATGCTGGTTATCGAAGAGGGGCTGCAAGAGGACTTCTTCTCGAGTTGTTGGTGACTTTGCAACCATAGGCTGCAGCGCTCTCCAAGCCGCCCAACAGGCTGCCGCTAATGGGGACGAAGACTGTCGTTTGAGGAGAGAAGACATGAAGATACAGGTCCAAACATCCCCTCTTCGAAGTAGACCCAGGTCTTGCTGCAGAATGTACTCCAAAACAGCAATCCAAATTTTGGACTCCGTTTGAGTGACCACTTTGCAGAACCATTTGCCCAATAGTGCAAGATTCTGGGTTTCTGGATCCAGTACACTCAAACCTCCCTCACCTCGTGTGCAGGTAACTTTGGACCTAGCACACTTTGTGATGAAACCTTCTTGCTCCTCAGCTCTTGGTTTCCAAAGGTACTTGGCCGCTTCCGATCGGATCTCCCGCAGTGTGATTTTGGAAATGAGCATCACCGCTGCAGTATACCACAGCTACGCTAGAACTACGGAGGAGATCAAGATCGCCCTCCCGAAAAGAGTGATTCCCACTGCGGTTTTACAACGCTTGAGGACCGCTTTCGACTTAGCCAGCAAAATTGAGTCTTGGTCTGGTCTGGCATCTGTCAGGGCTACTTGAATGCCCAGATACCTCTCTTAGTCTTGTGCTTAAATTCTCTTTATGCCCCAGACTTCACCTTGAATTTGATAGCGGGCTGGGAGGAAGTAGGAAGATTTATTCCAATTTACACGAGCTTCGGATAGTTCTGCGTATGAGTCCAAGATGCCCTTTGCAGTTGCTAACGACTCCGGCGTGGCCTCGGTGACCAACAGTAGATCATCAGCGATGGCGCCAGTCAACAGCTGATCGCCTTCTCCAAGTTTCAGGCCTGGTAGTTGCGGCGATGCCCTTAGTGAATTGAGGAGAACTTCCATTTGGATAATGAAGAGGAGAGATGTCAGGGCACAGCCCTGACACAGCGAGCGTGTGAGCGAGAAAGTCGGGGAAACGAATCCGTTGACCATGACTGCGGCTTTGGAGTCTGTGTAGAGCTCTTTAACCCACCGGCGGAACTTGGGACCGAAGTTCATGTGCTGCAGTGTTGCAAGCACGGAGGACCAATTGACTTGATCGTACTCCTTTTCGAGGTCCAACATCGCTACCATAACCTGACGGTTTTCACGTTGAACGATCTCCAGCGCCCCCATAGCCATGAGTACGTTTTCGAAGATCGAACGTCCCTGGACAAAAGCTCCCTGGTCGGAGTGAACCAGGCTGGGCAGGATGGGAGTCAGTCTTCTTGCTAGTACTTTCGCCAGGATCTTGTATGAGGCGTTCAAGCGGCTAATGGGCCTCCAGTTCCGCACGTTACGCTTGTCCCCCTTCGTATATAAGAGCGTGATAACTCCAAACTTCATGTATGACATGAGGCTGCCTCCCTCAAGAATCCTGTTAAACAGATTTAACAGGATGGGTCTGACTTGGTCCCAAATGGCGATATAGAATTCGATAGGTAGTCCGTCTGAGCCAGGGCTCTTCCCTTCCGCCATCGCTTTCGCTGCGCCCACAGTTCCTGCATGGTGATTGGCTGCTCCAGGAGTCTGCTCGTTTCTGACGAAAGGCTCACCAATGTGTCTTGCCAGAGGTTGTGCTCCATCTGCAGTTGCTGCAGGGACTGATGGTCTGCGTGAAGTCGGAATATCCTCGAAGTACTGCCATGCAAAGTCACCAATCGCCTTGGAGTCTGTTGCGGTGTCAGCTTCAACATGGAGGGGATGATGCAGTTCCCTTATGACCGAGTGTGTGCGCTGCGGTGTAATTCTCTGGAAGGTCTCTTTGGTCATGCGGTCGGCGGTAATCATCCCTTTCTCCTTAGCTCTGTTGGCCCAGGTAATCTGCTGTTCAATTTGCAGATCCTCCCATTTCTGGAGCCATCTGTCTCGTCTGTGTTGCTAGTAGAGCTCAGAAAGTGGATCAGTGTCTAACATGGCTTCAGCTTCCTGGATCCGTGCCCGACATTCTTCCTCTTCTTGTCTTCTCCCTCGTGCCTGGATTCTTCAAAAGGCGTCTAAGGCCCGGGTCACTACTCTAAATCCAACTGTCATCCACTCTTCCTCTGTGTCGAAACAGTTCTTCATGTTCTCCCAGTCTTGCCAGTGGGTCGTCACCCACTGCAGTATCTCCGGATTATTGAGATGATCTGTATTTAGTCTGAAAATACCCGGTCCTCACTGAAGTTTGGTGTCCATGACGAATTCTGCTACCACAGGCTTGTGATCCGAACCTGGTGCAATGATTACATCAGCTGTTGTCAAAGACTCCCAGGGCGCGCCTTTCGTCAATAGCAGATCCAATCTTCTCTTTGGCGGTGGGGCATCCCCAATACGCCGTGAGGAGAACCAAGTATAGCCATGCTCAGTGGGGTGAGTATGCCGATAAGCATCCATGTAGGAGTTGTCTTCCGTGAAGTTCTGCAGCGTCAGCGCATCAAGCTTCTGCGGCGAAGGAGTTGGAGAGTCGAGACCCGGTTGGATTGTGACATTGAAGTCGCCTGCGAGGACGATGTTCTGGCCAGGCGGGATGAGGTGTGGGAGCTCTTCCAAAAAGGCTCTTCTTTCGCCAGGATCTGATGGGACGTAGACTATCATGAAGATCCACCGCTGATCTCCAATCAAGACCTCGATCCACGCCCAGTGTCCCCACAAATCGGCGTCACGGTCCAAGATCTCTAACTGCAGATTGCGATGCACCAAAATGGCAACCCCTCCCCGTGTGGCGTCCGCTGGGGACCAGATCTGATCTGCCCTCCACCAATGTGCGAGTTGTTGCAGTTTTGGTTCATCGAGCTTCGTTTCTTGAAGCATCACAATCTGCACTTTATTGTCGTGTAACCATGTTTTGAGTCTGGCTTTCATGTGTCGCCCAGAAGAGTCTCCGAGCCCCCGTACGTTCCACGTGGCTAGCTTAAGACTGTCCATCCTCATGGAGGGGAGCGGCAGGAGATTGGGTCCGCTGGTGTTGATCTTCGGAGGTCAGCCGTGAGGTCCGTTGTCTGCGTTCTGTGTCCGTTGGAGCTGCCCAAGGCGCGAGAAGGAGGCTCCGGAAAGCTGGTGAATTTGGTTGCTTATCCGTAGCCAGTGTGCCACAGAACTCTGCCACCAGTGTGGCGTCGACGTCTTCAGTTAGCCAGGTTTCCTTAAGCTCCTGTGTGTTCCTGTCCGCGAGTCGTGTTGATGGAAGCCAAGTTATCCCTTGTGTTGCCAACAGGGCGGCAGTGTCCACTGAGATCCTCGTATCTAGTACTCCAATGGAGAAGTGCCAACTTCCTCCGTTTGTTGCGGCGACAGACTTGCGACCCAGGCGGATACTTGGAATGAGGCGGAAAGGGAAGCGGTCTACTATGAATGCTGATGCCACCTGCTTCACTACGTTTTTGGTTGTCGGTAGCGTAGCTGTCTCGATAGTTGGAATCGCAAGGAGACCTTTTTCAGTTCTTTTGGCCATGAATTTTGTCCCTTGAGGGGACAACATGAAGATGAGCAAACACATCTGGTATCTGATCATGGTACCAGACGCCCTGCTTGAGGATGGCTGAGATGATAGATGGCATGTGGAAAGTTGTGGACCTCCTTGCATTCCTGCTGAGACTGCTGGAGCTGGTGGGGCGGCAGAGTTGGAAATCACCACGAATTTGAGGTCCTCCTCCTCTGCTTCCAATGTGACCTCTCCAAGTCCATCCTGATTGATTCGTCACTGCTTCATTGGAGTGCGTGCCAGTTGTCTTGGGTCGCGCATCTCTGCATCTTGGGTGGGGCCGTCATCAATGCGAAGCCTCCGGGGAGCAGCAGCCTGTGGCGGTGGCGAGCCAGGTGGTGGCGGTAGAGACATGTGTGGCGTCGAGTCGGAGAACTGGCGAGGTTGAAGATATGGAGGATTGTGCTGGTATTCAGGGTTGTTGTATGTGCGGTAGGGTTGGTAGGGGTTGCTGGTGGTGGGGATGAGGGACTGCTGGGAGTAGACTGGGTAGTGGTGATATGAAGATGGCATCAGGGCTGGTGTGGAGAAGTGCAAGTTTGTTGATGGCTGGTGAGGCTCAGCAAGAGGACGGAGCCTGCTTGCTGTTGGGGGGGAAAGTTGTAGAGGGGGGGAGCTTGTGGGTAGGATATGGAGACGAGTGGTAAGTGGAGCATGAGATGTGTTTGAGAGTGGGGGGGAGAGAGCTTGTTGTGGGGGCTGGATGTTGTGGGCATCATGCGTGGCACCATAGTATGATGCGGGTTGCATGGCGTGTTGGTTTTGAAAGAGCTGAGGTTGCGGTAGTGGGGGCTGGAGGAATAGCTGATGAGGGGGATTACCCCCCGAGCCCTGTGTCAGGACTGGAAGTGGGAGTGGGTTTGGCTGTGGAGCTGCAGATATGGGTACCATGGTCATGGTGATTGCTGAGAGCATGGGCTGGGAGACGGGGGGTGGGGAGGGTTGACGAACGAGGGCGGGGTTCGGGTCCTGTAAGCCTGTGCTCCTAGGGGGATGTGGTGGACCACCCCTCCGTGGTGCTGGGATTGGCGGGCCACGACCTCCTCTTCCTCTTGGTGCTCGGCCTCTGCCTCTGCCTCTGCCTTGTCCTGGAGGCATTGGTTCGTTGATTCTGGGACATTCGGAATCAAACTCGTCATGGAACCACCAGAGACACTTCTTGCAGAAAGGAGTGTCCTGGTTGGCGAGTTGGATCTGGAGGTCCTGTCCGTTGGGCCTACGTAAGACGATCCATTCCATGTAGTTTCGTCTGGATACGGGATCGCAATCAATACGCACGTTGCCCAATCGTGGTTCATCCTCATTTTTTTCTGGGGGATGAATTTCAATGATAGGTGCAATTAAATTCCAAATGGCATGGCTGAGTGAAAACATGGCGCCCAAGGGCACTCGTAGTGCTATGATCCTGTATTTTTCTGCCGCTTCCCGATTTCTTTCGAGGTCGAGCTCGTGCTGAGTCATCCACGGCTTGAAAAGTACTCGGATTGGACCCTGTCGTGAAGGAATGGTGTCCTGCCCTTTATTGATGAGGTGTTCGGCAATCCTTTGGGAGCGAGGGACATAGGACATGATATTTGGTTCTTCGCCGTGCGTTCTACCTCGCCGCTGAGAGGGGTTGAAGTCTGCGTTTTGGTACCATGCATCTTCGTAGATGCGGATGAACTGTTCTCGTTGGGCTATAGACAGAGCTAGCCCCCTGGTCTGGAATACAATGATCACAGTTCTGGTTTTAAGCCAGTTGACTGTGGTCGTGTCTATCTCTTCATTGATATTGAGATAGCCGACACCCTGAATGATTTCAACCTCACCGTGTGAGATGGAAGGTCGGGGAAGAGGCCATCATTGTAACACCAGTCGGGCAGTGTTTGAATTCTGGCCAGATCAGCTGGTGCGTGAGCTGGAGGGGGGGGTTGCACGATGTGTTGAGACCCTGCGCTTTGCCCTGCATGTGGGGCAGCGTGTTGGACCGCTACCAGGCTTGCCATGGTGAGTGGTTCTTTGTGGGGGAGAGTGTTGGTGTCAAGGTTGTTCCAACTTTGTTGATAAACGGGTTATGAGTGTGGAGGGGCTTAAGCGAAAAAGAGTTATGTACTGTTATGGAGCAGTTGAGCATAAAAGCTAGGAGTTATTAACGGTGGATCAGGAAGGAGAGTGGTGAGACAACAGGCTAAAGGTGAGTGGAAGTACGGGTAGTGTAGTCGGGGGGTTGACGAGAGTCTAAAGGTGGGATGTTAGGAGACCGGGTTAGTGGATTGAGAGCGACCTAGATTTGAAGGGGAAAACAGGCGGGTGGATGTGGGCAGATAGTAGGAGTACAGGCGGGGGGGAATGGGTGGACAGTGAATTGAAGGAGGGAGATTATAAGTTGAGAGATTGGTGGAGTATTGAGGTGAGGCAGTTGAAAATTCTGGTTGTCTGAAGTGTGAGACGTAGGTTGGGTTCGGACGAAGGATTGAGGAATGGATGAGGTAGGCAAGGGAGAGATCGAGGATGAGATGAGAAGAGCATAGCAATTTTCGAACTCTGATTGGTATCGGTTTCTGAGTCGGGGTCAATGCGACGGATGTGATTACTTAAGGGGTGCAAGGTCAGAAAGAGAACACTACCTAGGAGATGACGACCGATCTGGATTTAGACAGGGTGAGGGGGGAGGGGGAGGTTTGAGAGTGGTGAAAGGAGACGAGTGGGACGGTAAGGAAGTTAGGGAGGGGATTAAGGGAGAAGTGGAGTCGTGACTCTTGGTTGTGGGGGTTGTTTTTGTGAGGAAGGGCAAGCTTGGGTGGGAGGGTACGTCGGGTTTTATTGATGCGGGAGAGGGGGATGCTATTGGTCGTGTCAGCTGCTGGCTGAGTAGGGTTAGAGTGAGGGAAGGGGTGATTACGGAGGAAAACAAGAGGAAATGGGAGGAGTGTGTGTTAGTCATGAAGCGGGGGTGAAAGGTGAGAAGCGGTAGATGCGGGGGTAGGAATAAGAATTTCTAATTTGTACTTACGAGTTGAGGAAAGATGGGTAGGTGATGTGGGTTGACTTTACCGAGCCGGTCAGGAGTGTGTAAATATGTGTGGAGGTAAGACGCGGTGGGAGGATGAAGGAGGTGTGAATGGAGAGTAGATGGCTTGGGAGATCAGAGGAATAGGTGGGAGGAGCGGATAAAGAAAAAGGGGGGGATAATGATCAGTACGTTGACTGAACTTTTTAACAGATGGGAGACGAAAGAAAAAGGGGATTATGGTTGACGTCCCAAAAAAGTCACGCATCGCAGACAGGACGTCCGAAGACGTCTTGTCTAGAAAGGAATATTACCCATTTGAAGGTGGTCAAACTGATGTTCTCCGACTCACTAACTCACCCCCATGCTCCCCTACCCGCTTTGGCAAGTTGGCCTGGCTATGGCCAGGTGGAGCGTTGGGCGATGGCCGCTTCCCTTGGATACGTTCCAAGCTGGAGGCTAGCAACACCGGTTCTCCGGAACCGGTGACGAAACGGCGGAGCGCGCTGCCCCGGCCGGTCGCCTCTCCCCCCCTTTAGATTCTTTTTTAGATTTTATCCTAGATTTTCTTTTTCTTCTGCCTTCTTTACGACCCCCCCCCCCCGTCTTTTCTGGAGGTTGCGCCCGTTCGCTATAGTAAAACAAGTTGCAGTCGTTGGAAAGAGCGCCCGAATCTGGCACTTTTATTGTACCAGATGCGGGAATGGGGAAGAGAGAGAGAGAGAGAGAGAGAGAGAGAGAGAGAGAGAGAGAGAGAGAGAGAGAGAGAGAGAGAGAGAGAGAGAGAGAGAGAGAGANGAGAGAGAGAGAGAGAGAGAGAGAGAGAGAGAGAGAGAGAGAGAGAGAGAGCACGAAGTGACCTACTTGGCACTGCCCCTCGCCACTGCCATATATAGGATGAGCAAAATCGAATGAATCTACCGCTAGAACAAGGAAACATGCACTGCCACAGACGTCCCCCCCCCTCCTTTGTTCTTCGAAGTCCTAAGCGTCTGTTCGTTTAAGTGGACGGGCTGCAGGCAACTTGAGGTAAGTCCTTCTTTTCCTTTCTTTTCTTTTCTTTTTGTTGTTTTTTTTTTTTTTTTTTTGTTAAATTCTTTTTAGATTTTTTTATTTTCTTTTTCTTCAAAATACTCCCCCCCCCCCCCCTACTTGGCTGGGCCGTAGTTGTTGCGCCCGTTCGTTTTAAGAAACGGGCTGCAACACTCACCGCGCGCCTGAACCGGCCGCAGTTTGCGTCCAGGTACGGGTGCATGGGGCAGGGGGGAAAGTAGACCCTGCAAGCTTGACTCTAGTTCGGCTCCGTGAAATGACTGAGTTTGGAGGGGCGGCCGTTCGTCTCAAACGACGAGCAGCCCCTCATAGAAAAATGAAGGGTTTGGGAAAAGAAAAAAAAAGAAGGGAGAAGAAAAAAAAAGAAAA